TCAATGCTGTGCGGCTAGTCATTGCAAGCACACGTCAGCACACGTCAGCATACGTCAGCACAGTCACAATTTCACATCGCAGCGAACGGTAGTCCCCGCCGGCCGAGCTGGTAAAACGGATGCAGGGGCGTGTACAGGGGGGGGGGGTCCAAGGGATCCGGAACGCGAAATTTTTTTCCACTTGAGTTCCGGACCACAGCCAATCAGCGCACTCCATTCACTCGACTTCCTCGAAGCAACAATGTCAAATGAATAATCCCTATACCTTAACCCTAAACCTAACCCGTACCCGAACCCTAACACTAAATATAATCCAATCATATATATACGAACCATATATTACAAAACACTATCTATGGTGGGTCCGGAACTCAAGTGGAAAACAAATTTCGCGTTCCGGATCCCTTGGACCCCCCCCCCCCCTGTACACGCCCCTGCATCCGTTTTACCAGCTCGGCCGGCGGTGACTACCGTTCGCTGCGATGTGAAATTGTGACTGTGCTGACGTATGCTGACGTGTGCTGACGTGTGCTTGCAATGACTAGCCGCACAGCATTGAACTGGGCGCAATGACTAACCTTTCTGTTTCGATAATTTTTGAATTCGCTTTGCAACAAACCTGTCACGTGCGTCGTGAGCTTTATATTTGCCGAGAAAAAAATCCATTTAGATGCGTTTATATGACGTCAATAATGTCGGAAAATCGCCGATCACATTAGTCTAGAGCAACGGTTCTTTGTGAAGGCTCCCTTTTCGGGTTTCAGAATGTTTTCGCAACCCCCTTTTTCAAAAAACGCTCTTCAAGATAATCAATGAAACGTAATTAAAGAACAAATTGTATTGTGCTGATATTTTTGCAGTAAGAATAAAAATACAGCTAAAGTGGCAGAACAAGTTGGAGGGAAATGACACTTTATTAATTTTATAATTGAACTAGCTGACATGATTTGCACCTAAAGATTCGACATTTCGCACGCCTGCCTAGGGATGCAAACACTCCATAAACTTAGGCTAAAATGGAAAACGCCATCACAAAACTACATGCGCAGTAGCATAGAAATTGGTTCACATATGCTATCATATTCTCTGCGTGCAGGGACTGGCTAGATATTTTAATTCGTGATGAAGTCTTGTCCACGGCCAATATACGACCCCTCTGATGATCGCTTACTATGATCACAGCGTAGATGTTACTGAACCAATACGAATAGCCTCCAGATATTGAAGTATATACAAGAAAATCGATAGCAGTGTCACACCGGTTGGTTACAGCAAATATTGGCCCACGCCCTCATTTATACTAGAGATTCCCGCTTGGCTATAACCACCGTAGAGGACAATGAGTGGTGATGGAGACAAGTATAGGCCTACGAATACATAATTACTTAAACCTTAAATATACATTAATTCGTGATATAGAGTAGTGTACATTAAATAATTTCATACACGCTTCATCAAGAATATCTGTTATGAATATGAGGAGCAGCAGCAGCAACCGCCGATAACGTATGAACTATCACTTTTACACACACACGCACGCACGCACGCACGCACGCACGCACGCACACCCACACACACACACAGAGAGAGAGAGAGAGAGAGAGAGAGAGAGAGAGAGAAGAAGAGAAGAAGAGAGAGAA